CCAGGAAGAGCAGAGCGAATAATCCCAAACAATGGAATTAACCAAATACTGGGCAGAGGGGTGGGGAACTCACTCTGTAGACCAGGATGATCTCAGACTCACAGAGATCCGCCTGCCTCTGTCTCCCGAGTGCTGGGATCAAGGACATGCACCACCACCAAGCTTATTCAGTCTTATAAAGAACAAAAGGGCTGGAGAGATGGCTTGACAGTTAAGAGCACTGGCTGCTGTTTCAGAAGAACTAGGTTCATTCCCCAGCACCCACATAATGCTTACAATCACATGTAACTCAAGTCCCAGGGAATACAACATCCCCTTTTGGCTTCCATTGGAGATTGTTGAAGTCTGTACAACTATGTGAATATATTTGCTGTCACTGAGCTGTATACTTAAAATGGTTAAAGTGGTCATTTCTGTAACACACATGCACACACACACACACACACACACACACACACACACACACGCTCACAGAGAGAGAGAGAGAGAGAGAGAGAGAGAGAGAGAGAGAGACAGAGACACAGAGACACAGAGACAGAGACAGAGACAGAGAGAGAATTAAAAATAAATCTTTTTTTTCTTAAGAAAAACAAATTAATCTGGTCTACAGAGTGAGCTCCAGGACAGCCAGAGCTACACAGAGAAGCCCTGTCTCAAAAAACCAAAAAGCAAAAAAAGAAAGAAAGAAAAAGGAAAACAGGTTAAAAGAGTGTGTGTGTGTGTGGGGGGGGAGTAGACAACGCCATGAGCCATTCTGAAGTCCTGTCTAATGTGCACACCCGCGCTACTTCTGTTTTTATTTGTCCTGTGAACAGATAGCCTGTATTCCCAAATCAAGCCAGTTTTTCAGCGCCTCTCGAGACAAAACAGTCATAATGTGGGACCTGCAGGGCTCTTCCGAGCCCAGAGAGCAACTGTGTGGCCATGCCATGGTGGTCACTGGCTTGGCTGTGAGTCCAGGTAAAGTGGAACAGATCTCCTGCCAGCTCCTGGGTGCGTTCCCAGAACCCTTGTCCACATCCCAGCTCTCAGCCACTGTGTCTTCTCTCCATTGTTTTTCAAGACTCATCACAGCTGTGCACCGGCTCTCGGGACAACAGCCTGCTTCTGTGGGATGTAGGTACTGGACAGTGTGTGGAGAGAGCATCTGTCTCCAGGAACCTGGTACGTATTCAGACGTGGTGTAGAACAGGATGGTGGGAAGCAGCACAGAGTGAGCGGAGCCTGCCGGGGCATAGCTCATCGTAGATAGAGTGTAGTTAGCATGGGGGTGGGGGGGCTTGGGTTCAGTTGAGAGGTGGCGGCTGGGAGTAAAGAGAAGGGAGGAAGGAGGAGAAGAGAGTGGTATCCTCATTCATTTCTTCAGAGCATACTGTTAGCATGATTTGGACGGGCCAGGCACTGCTAGGAATAGAAATGTAGCAAAGACATGGTGTCCTGTCTTGCAGGAACCCACAACTTATGCGTACAGAGTGTGCTATAAGATGGCCGCTTGCCCCTCTGAATACGGCATCATGCAGAGATCAGTGTGCCCCTTGCTCGATGTAGCTCACTCTGTGACAGCTGACTGCTGTAGACTTTGCACAGCCTTGGGGCTCTGTCACACCTGGCTTCCACACTTGTGTTTGTGTGGGTTTTTCTTTTTTCCATGCTGGGGATTGAACCCTAAGCCTGTACATGCTAAGCAAACACTCTGCCTCTAATTTCCACTCCCAGGCCTGCTTTCAAGCCACAGATCCATCCCTTACTATTGTGAGTCCTGTATGGTGCTACTTAATCTCAGATTCTGAATATCTCCATTTATAAAATGGAAGTTATGTCACTAGGCAAGATTCTTCGGGTGACTGAATGAGATAAAATAGACTATAAAACAGCTGTCATTGTGCACGGCACAGGGCAGATACTCCTCAGAGTTTAGTTGTCTCCTGTTCTAGTTTGGAAGTCCGCTGCAGATGGTAGGATGTGCTTGCCTGTGCCCTCCATATTCCAGAGGATTCTGTGCTGAGAAAAGCACACTTCTGCCCTGGGTTGTTTTGGAACCTGTTTCATGCCTGTTCACCAGGGCTGCGCGGCCAGGACTACTGTTACTCTTAGGAACCCCTGAGGTGTTACAGCAGAGTTCTGGGGACCCCACTTAGCACAGGGGCTGCTCTTCTGGCTGGGGTTCAGGTCGTCAAGATTAACCACCAGGCCTGCCTGCCGGTGCCTTTGCCCCTGAGCACCGAGGAGATACAGGTGAAGGAGGACTGATGGGGAGCTGTGAGAAAGAAGGTGACCCTGCTAACCCAAGCTCACGAGCTCAGAACCCTTGAGAGGGGAGGATGGGGGGGAGGCTGGCCAACTAACGGAATTTCAGCAGAGGAATGACCTGACGTGGAGATTTGTTGGTTGCTTTCTCCAGGTCACCCATCTGTGCTGGGTCCCCAGAGAGTCCTATGTTCTCCAGTCCTCCGAGGATAAGACCATCAGGTGGGCTACTGAGCCGCTGTGGAGTGTTTCTGGTGAAGGTCTGTGGCTCCTGAGCTTACATGCCTCTGCTTCCATCCTGCTTCTCCGTGCTGCTGGGCCCTTCCTAGAGTGTTGCCCTTCACTCCTAGCTGCCACTGGGGACTCTCTGACCTGGAGCTTATGCGGACAGAGGGAAGGCACAGGATGGGGTCAGGCTAAGGTCCTGCTCTGAGTGGTTTGGAGTAGCTGCCCTCGCTGGTTCCAGTGTGTGACTGTCCAGATCACCTCGGCCTCACTGCTCACCCACCCCGTCAGGCAGCCTGGCCCTGCCATCATGCCCTGCGTGATTCTTGGAGTTTCCAGGCACCTAGCCCTCAGCCAGAGCCCCCCTGGGAACAAGGGTCAGACTCTACATCTAGGCGTTCAGATAAAGTCAGGAACTCACAAACTGTGGAGCATGCCTCAAAATTCTGGCTCTCCAAAAAGATTTTTACTCTAAAATGGGAGGAATGAGAGGGGAAACAGGGAGATAAGAGGTTCTGCAGAACTCTCCACTGGACTCCAAGGCCAAGGCCGGCATGGGCAGCCTCAGCCCGGATCTGGTTCTGGAACGGTGGTGACACTCTGGTAAGGATCTGTTAGCTGTAGCAAAGGGTCTGGACTGCAGTCTGAGCGCTCAGGAGGCCGAGGAGCATGGCAGCCTGGACTATGTAGCAAGACCTGCTTCAAAACAGCAGTAAAGTATCTTTGAGACAATTTCAATTATAGGCACAAAAATAGCCCCTGGTCCATTGAAAGCAGTGCCGTAAAGGATCAGGATAACGTGTACAGTTAAGATGTGTGTTCCAGCTGGGCAGTGGTGGTGAACATGTTCGATTCCAGCACTCAGAAGGCAGAGGCAGGTGCATCTCTGAGTTCCAGGACAACCAGGGATACACAGAAAACTCCTGTCTCAAAAAACAAAAACCAACCAACCAACCAACCAAAGATGTGCATTCTAGTCAGGGGGTGTTGGCACACGGCTTTATCTCAGCACTCAGGAGGCAGAGGCAGGCAAATCTCTGAGTTCTAGTCTGAGACTGAGTCTAGGACAGCCAGAGTTACACAGGGAAACCCTGTCTCTAAAAACAAACAAAAAATAGTGTGTTCTAAAGCCTCCATGAAAGGGTGGTGAGGTGGCTCAGCAGATAAAGGTGCCTCCTACCAAGGCTGACAGCCTTAGTTCAGTCCCGGGACCCACACAGATGCTGTGGCTTGTGCAGCCCCTCCCCCAATAAATAAGTGTAATTTTTTAAAAAATCCATATGACTTGATTTCAAAACAAAGAATCAAGATGGCGTTGATTTGGTTACTTCCTGTCAGCTTTAGAGTTTGTTAGATTGGGTCATTCTGTTCTGACTGGCCGCAAAGAGTCAATCTTTCCCTGTTCGTGAGCTATCATGCGTGTGTTTTAGTCCCGTTTACGACAAAGTCGCTTTCTGCTTCTGCTTCCTTGCAGATTATGGGATAGTCGGGGGCTTCAGATGGCTCATGTGTTTCCCCCAAAGCAGCACATCCAGACCCACTGTGAAGTCAGCGTGGACGGACGCACGTGTATCTCCTGCAGCAGCGGCTTTGAGGGCGAAGGCTGTGAAGCCACAGTAAGAGGCCATATTGATGAGCAGGCTGCTCTGGTCTCACTCCCCTCACCGTGCTCCACAGATAGGCTCTGCAGCAGCACTGGCCTGCTTCAAGTGCAAACTGTCAATCACCCTGTGCACGCCGGAGGCTTCTTTAAGAAATCTGTTAAGCTGGGTCTGTCTGAATTGGTAATAGACAAGAGGAACAGGATGGGACTCAAGTAGAGAAGCAGCCTGCTAAGGTCCTTGCTCCTGGTGGAGCTTAGACAGAGAGGGACTGCTGGAAGGGCCATATATATGCCTTTTGTATATGTGGCCATGCCAAAGGAAGCGCAGCTCATTAGGGGAACTGTGGAGCTCTGAAACTGGTCCAGGCGCCCTACCCCCACCCCTTATCCAGCTGTACACCTTACTTGCGGTAATTTCAGGATATACTCTTTAGGCCCCTCCAAAGTCCCTAGATTCATAATTGCAGGTTGTCAGTTAAAAAAATCATCTAGCCAGGAGGTGGTGGCGCACACCCTTAATCCCAGCACTCGGGAGGCAGAGCCAGGTGGATCTCTGTGAGTTCAAGGCCAGCCTGGGCTACATAGTGAGTTCCAGGAAAGGCACAAAGCTACACAGAGAAACAAAACAAAAGAATCATCTAGTTTCCAAAGTTATCAGATTTGTATTTCCGAGTTATCAGATGTGTATGCCATGTCAGGTATTGAGCTAAGCATGCATGGTTTCATTTCATTTAATCCCTAAGACAAGCTGTTTCAATGCGTATTTTACAGTTGAGGGAATGGAGGCCCGGCAAGTTGGAGTCTCTTACTCAGTACATACTCTTAGAAGGGGTAGAATAAGGTGTTACAAGCTTTAGATGTCGCACCTCTTGTCAGAGCTGAGGGATCACAGGGTCTCCTGAGACCCTACCCAGTATTTGGACACCATTCAGTTTTCTCTTGTCTCTGAATGGTACCTTCCAGGTGCGATGTGACCTGTGTCAGTAGACGTGGGACAGGTGGGATTGTCGCTTCCTTGTCAGAGGCACTCGGCATCAGCTCAGAGTATCTGCGCCTGTATGCACACGTGAGAAGGTGCTCCTTACTGTATGGTCCCCACAGGACACACAGATGCCAGGAGGCAGCTCTCCGAGTTGTCACGGAGAACAAGGCACCCCGTACTGTCCCATCACCCCACAGCACTGTGAGCTCTTACTTCTCTCGTCATGGAAAAGGCAGCGCCCTTCCTCCACAGCCACAGCTAGTGTTGTTTGAGACACAGTTGATGCTACAGTAGTTGCTGGGTGGATGTGAGGTTGGGTAATGAGGGATGAGATAAGGACTTCATGAATGGAAGGGATCAATAGGTCATGGGGAATGGGAGGACAGGTATTAGAGACATATGAACATCTATATGAGTGAGCTGGCTGCTGTCATTTCTTTGCAGTTGTGGGACCTAAGGCAGACAAGAAACAGAATGTGTGAATATAAGGGGCATTTCCAGACAGTTGCCTCTTGTGTCTTTCTACCAAAATCCATGGCCTTGATGCCTATGATTGCTACCTCAGCACATGACTCCACGGTGAAGATTTGGAACCAAGATACTGGAGGTAAGCAGCCTGCTCTCAGTGTTTCTCAAAGCTGAGTGCAGCCTGGAGACTTTTCCCATTGCTCACCATATGCAAAGCCACTGTGTCCTGCCACTGAATAGTCCCTTTGTAGTTAAGAGGTGAAGCACCAAAGTACCCACGTCTTTCTGTTCAACCTCTGGCTCTAAGCCAGCACCGTGCTTCCCACATACCATAATGTCCAGAGTTAATCCTAAGACTCCAAGAGAACATGTTTGGCTCGTGTATTCTTTCTGAATTCTTGTCTGAAGTTCCCCACCAGATTTTAACTTGTGATGCTCGGAATGTCTGGAAAGGGGAAAAAGAATGCTGCTTTTGAGTTCTTATTTCAAAGATACAGTTAGAACCTCAGCTCTTGCTGGGACTGTGATAAAATGAGAACAGAGTCAGAAAGGCTCCCCCTGTTGGGACTCTTGAGATCTCAGTGAGGTCAGGGCCCCTTACTACCCCAGGAAATCCATGTCTTGTGGACCATGGCTTCCCAGAGTCTTCTACATGTATAGCCATACAAGTCAAATGGTAGACACCTGGGGATTTTGTGAGCCATGGTCTGAACTTTTGATGCCTAGTGCCTCTGACTTGAATTCAGTCATGGTGGGACATTTATCCCTTGGAGGTTGCCGAGTACTGTGAATAAGCGTTGCATTCACAGCACTGCTGGTGTGCTGTTTTACTCTGGACATGGGATTTGGCTAGAGACAGGAAATTGTTAATTTAGAGAACTTCAGAAGCTTCTCATAGTCACTCACCAACAACTCAGTTCCCCTCAGGGTGAGAGAACCACCTTCCAGAGAAAAGAGGTGGGCCTCTCTAATGTCACTCTGTAAACAGCTGTGGCCATAAGCCAAACTTAAATAGTGAAGGCAGGCCTGCCATCCCCTCCCCTGGAGCTGGATTCCCCACTGCCCAGGTGTGATATCTGTGGGTGAGGAAGTGGATGCTTCCGATGTAATGACACATGCCTCAAAGTGGGGACCATTGACCTGAACAGATGGCACCACTGTCCTGCATGAACTCCTGGCATTCCTAGAAAAGTTGCCTCAGAGATGCAGCTGGAGGGATGGCCCAGTTAAAAGCAAAGCCCAGCCTTTAATCCCAACTCTCAGGAGGCAGACGCAAGCAGATCTCTGTGAGTTCGAAGCCAACCTGGTCTTCCAGGATGGCCAAGGTTACACAGAGAAACCCTGTCTCAGGGAAAAAAAAAACACCAAAAAAACCCCAACCAAACAAAAAAGCAACAAAGCCCAAGCCTGGCCTGCAGCAAATCTCTCTGGCAGCCCAGATCCCTGTCCCTGTCTCTTTCCCCGACTCAGCCTGTCTTGTTCTCTACCCTTCAGATATGACCCCAGTTGTCTGGAATACTGCTTGGTAGCCTCCATCCTGTTGGGCCTGGGTACCGTTCTCTTTAGAAGTCATGGAGGTGACCCAGGTTCTCACAGTCAGGTGCACTGGACCTTGTTGAGAGGTGGAAGCCTCTCGTGGCTTAGATGGTACAGGACATGCTCAGCTTCTTGTCCTCATGATGTATACAGTCCCATACTGTCTAATGACGTTTCAGTGAATAACAGAGAACATCCAGGAGCTGAGAAGTGTGGTAGTGGGATGTACTATATCTATGCGTGCACACTCCAGGATGTCACAGAGCGGCCACACTGTCTAATGATGCCTTCCTCAGAGATGTTTCCATCATTAAGCATAGGACTGTTCTCCTTTCTTCTCCAGCTTGCCTTTTCACCTTGTCTCTGGATGGATCAGGACCCTTGACCTCCCTGGCTGTTGGTGACATCACCTCCTTGTTATGTGCAAGTTTCTACAGAGGAGTTCACTTACTAAGAGTGGACCACAGCCGAGGGCTAGAACTGCAGGAGGTGGCAGCCTTCTGAAGCCAAGAGACATTGACTGGACAATATCACACTGTGGCCCCTCCTTTCTGTGTGGCTTTGTGTTTTTACACATGGTCTTGGGGAGCAGGGTACAAGTCTGGTGTTCTTTTCTTAGGATCACTTAGAAGGCGTATCAGGGTTAGATGTTGGTTTAAGTCCGGTGATTGAAAAATTGTTTGTACCAGGATCACTCTGTAGCCCAGGCTGGACTTGAACTCATAGCAACCCTCCTGCCTCAGTCTCCTGACTACTGGAATTATAGGTGTGAGCCAGCATGTCCAAGAAAATTCAGGTTTAGAAACGTGAACTCAATATGAAGTTCATGATCTCAGGTAAATCCAAATGGAGTTTCTAGTGAGCTTTTGGGACTACTCTTCAAAAGAAATGTCCTTATTGCTCAGGATGATGACTTGGAGACTTAAGAGCAGCAAGCTTCTGTGAGAATGAAAACATGGGCTGGGGTCATGATGTTTTCCTTGTCTCCATGAAGGAAAAATGCTTCAAGACAGACCAAGCTGGTTGATTGTGTTGTTCCATGGAGGAAGTGGATGGTGGACAGTGAGATTAAACAAAACCACCTCCAAGCCTCTTACAGCAAGAGAGCAAAAGCCCTGGCTTTGTCCTGGGGAGCAGAACAGGAGGCAGGACCTCCTGCCATCTACCTTCCTGGGCCTGCGCTGCCCAGGGGATGGGCAAACAGGCACAAGGACACCTACCCCAAATGACAGGAATCATTGAACCTGCCTCATGTACGGAAAGCAGAGGGGATGGGAGACTAAGGCTAAGACATACGCATTTGTAATTTGAGTAGTTTTATATATATATATATATATATAAAACACACCCACATCCTCCCTACCTCCCACCCCTGGGGATGGCCAGAGGCAAAGGAGTCAGCTCTGGAACATAGAACTGGGACACAGAGGGATGGAATTAACTGAGCCTGGCTACTGCACACCCTTCAGTGAGGAGGGTGATGGTGCTTACATTCCTGTGTGGTTCCCACAGGTCAGTCCTTGGCCTGGAACTTGAGAGAAAATGGAGGCCTTTTTGCTTTTAGATGAGTCTGAGGCTGGCCAGAGAATGACTGCCTTTATAGCTGCTGGCTCCTGTCTGTCCGTGGTTCAGGACTGGCCACCATTTCCTCTCTCCCTCCTGCTGTCCCCAGGGTCAGGAGGAGAGTGTGTTCTTGAGGGCACAGAGTCTGGCCTGAGTGAAGTTCCACCTCATATGTAATAATGGTAATATTACATGGTAATATAATATAACATGGTACTCGCGGCCATACCTCCCTCACGGGGGTATGGTTCCTGAGGGCAAGATGCAAGGGAGGCACCAGTATCTTGTCTGGACTGAATGCCTTTTCATAATAAACATTTACCATTCCTTCATCTGTTGTCAGGTCTTATTTTCTAATCGTTTAGCCTTTCAATTCCCTAGTTTATGGATCTTTGAGCTCTAGAGGACAAGGGAGTGGTGTGAGAGGAAGTTACTTCATTGAACACCCTCAGTGGACTAAGTAGATTCTCAGCACCAACACCAGCCCTTCCTGAACTCTGCCTGTGTGCTCGATGCCAGATTCCCTCATCTGTGTCTGAGAAGCAGGAAGACAGAAATGCTCACATTTATAGAGCCTTTTAAAGTTAGTTTAGAGCCGGGCGGTGGTGGCACACGCCTTTAATCCCAGCACTCGGGAGGCAGAGCCAGGCAGATCTGAGTTCCAGGCCAGCCTGGTCTACAGAACAAGATCCAAGAAAGGCGCAAAGCTACACAGAGAAACCCTGTCTCGAGAAAAAAAAAAAAAAATTATTTTAGGCCCTAATTAGGATACTCTTGGTGTCCAAGATTCTGGCTGCTGAAGTCATGAACTCTTCATTTTGGAGGTTGCCCTCTACATTCATATAACGGAATGTTCCAGACAGTTAACTTTTTTCCTTCCAGGAAAGTGTGTAAGCCCTTGGAATCTTGTCAATCATACATTTAAAATTTAAACACATTTATATATTTATTAACATGTTTCTCATTAGGATAGATATACACCAAGGAAAATGGGTGGCGATTATTAAAGGTCTTAGACTAGGGTTAGCAGCAAAGCGCAGCACTCGGGTTACTTGGAGAGTGTAACCTTTCGGCATGGAGGAGCAGGACTCGGCTATTTCTGAGTGGCCTTTTGAGGGCAGTTATTAGAGAGCAGTTTCGTCAGTAAGCACAAGTGTGGCTGTGGTGGGACCTGCCTGTGTGCCAGCACATGGGAGGTAAAGCAGGGAGTCAGGAGTTCAAGGTCATCTTCACCTACCTCACCTACACAGTGAGCTCAAGGCCGAATGAGGTTTCCATGCCTGCCACCTGGACCCACTCCACAGATTACAAATATTGTTAGTTGTTCCCCTAAAGTTGGCGCATTTTGGCTCGGGTTGGCCCACTAATTCCACATTCCAGGCAGGTGTGCCATGGGAATAGTATGGAAATGACGTCCATTACGTTCACCCAGTTAGTTTGAAAGGAATGTGGATGGGTGGGTCCAGGATGATCCCTCAGGCCCATCCCCATGGAGGAGTTGGGGCATTTGCTAACTGCTTCATCGGCCCAGATGACCTCACAATGATGGGATTGTAAGATAGAAGGAAGCAGGGCCCCGAGTCACTTTGAGTTGAGCTACTCGCCTGCCTGGCCACACTGTTGCTGAGAGAGAAATGAGCCTCTTAAATCTACTATATAATTATTTTACTAGGTTTAGTAACCATGAGGACATTTTCAAATGTCCGAGCTTAAAGCTCTGAATTTTCACAAACTGAAAATACTCTAGAAACCAAAACCCGGCTGCAGATATGTGCAGGACTTAGAACCAGTATGTTGCTGTATTCCAGGTGAAGTTGGGCAGACCCAGAACCAAAGCTTAGCCCCTCCCATTCCTATGTTTGAAACCGTGGGCAAAGTGCTGCATGTCTCTGGGCCTCGGTTTTCCCATTTGTGAAATGGGAACATCACTGGGAGTGTTAGCGAGACTATGGATCCAGCTTTGTGGCCCTGCCTTCGTCCTCACGGACCTCTGCACCGACAGGTAAAGAGGGTGGTCCAGGCTTCAAGGAGGAGAGTCTGCACTGCAGGAATGAGGTCTTATGAATGACATCACCGAGGGCCACCAAGCCCAGCCAACCTCAGCAGCACAGCCTGGTACATGAACTCAGCACAGCCCACGATCCATGAGAAATAGTAAATCACGCTTGCTTCAAGACTGTGTTTGGGGTGGTTTGTGATGCTATGAGAGACTTCAGTGAGACAAGCATGGACTGGTCGGGATGCTTTTGCTCAGCATGTCCATGACATTGACACAGTGCTTACATGTAGTTGGACCCCATCCTCATTATTAGGCAGGAGTCCGTTGCATGGAGACACTGGTCTTGGCATGGAGTCAGTACTTGGTATTGCTCCTAGAACATTCTCGTAACAGGTCTTTCGGTGAACAGCTGCATGTTCTGTGCCCACTCTATAAGAAGCAGAGCACTTGCCGGGCTATTGTAACCCATGTTAACCCATGTAACCAGCTGTAGTCAATCAATACTGCCAGACATTCCCCCAGAGAATTTGTGCCACTCTGCTCTCGAGCAGGTAGCAGGGGAGTCAGAGGTCAGGCTCTTCACCTTTGCCCACCCTTGGTGCTCCGGAACTTTGCAACCCTCCATTATAAAAATAGCAGTGAGAAGGCCGGGGAATGCACCACAGGAGCGAGTTCCAGGGGCCAAAAATAGAAAGAGGCCGGGCCTCCTGTGGAGAGGTCAGAATTTCACGCTAAAGCCCGATGTGCAGACAGCGCCTGGTATTTTACACTCTCACGGTCACGGCCTCACCTGCTCCTTCCAAGAAAATAACTCCCAGAGAGATGGCATGGAAATTAGTATCTCCAATAGAAGAGAGGCATGCCCAAGGTCCAACAGCATGTGGTAGGCACAGACACGAGCCCAGGTCTTAAACACACAGGCTGGTTCTTCCTGGCAAGGCCCTCTGCTTTTAGTGGTTTTTATGGTGGGAGTCAGCCTGAAGGCCAAAGGGGCTGGGGACAGGTAGGAAGTGTTTGTGCCTACAGAAATAAGTAACATTAAGTCTAAACATCACACACACAACGCCCAGTTCATCCCAATGTTATCTCTTCCAGATCTGGAACACAGCAACCGTTCTAAGTCCTGCACACAGACAATTGAAAAGCCCAGCCTCACCTGGCTGTGGTGATGTGCACACCTTTAATCCCAGCAGTCGGGAGGCATTGGCAGGCAGATCTCTGTGAGTTCAAGGCTAGCCTGGTCTACATGGTGAGTTCCAGTACAGCTGGGCCTATGTAGAGAGACTCTGTCTCAAAAAAAACTAAAACAAAATCTTTAAAATATATTGACCATGGCTTACCTGGGTATTGAGTGTAAGCTGAGCTCATACGCTCTCTTCTGCCTTGAGTAGTTTTGTGACTGGAATATGTCAGCTTTCTTTTGTAAACTTACCTTTGAAACAGATGATACATTCAGGTAGTACAAGTACATTTACATTTACAAGCCACATTTCCTGCATCCTATGTTATGTACAGGTTAGAAAATACATGGGATTTTTTTTTTTTTTTTTTTTTTTTTTGGTTTTTCGAGACAGGGTTTCTCTGTGTAGCTTTGCACCTTTCCTGGAGCTCACTTGGTAGCCCAAGCTGGCCTCGAACTCACAGAGATCCGCCTGGCTCTACATCCCGAATGCTGGGATTAAAGGCGTGCGCCACCACCGTCCGGCGGGATTTTTTTTTTTTTTTTAAGCCTACAGCACCCGGTATTCCCAGGCGGTCTCCCATCCAAGTACTAACCAGGACCGACACTGCTTAGCTTCCGAGATCAGACGAGATCGGAAGCGTTCAGGGTGGTATGGCCATAGACGGGATTTTTTTTTTTTTAAGATGGAGATTTCACAGTGAAAAGACTGGCTGAATGGGAGGATGGCACTGAAGTGTGTGAATATTTTGTTCACGTAAGTGCGCTGCACTCATGCAGTTCCCACAGCAGCCAGAAGGGGGCGTCAGATCCCTTGGGCATTACCAATGTGAGCCGCTGTTTGGGTGCTAGGACCTGAACCCCAGTCTTCCAGAAGAACAGCTGAGCCATTTCTTCAACCCCTTCAGGACCTTTGTTTTTGAAGTAAAGACTTCCCAGCCTGCATGATTTTATGATACAGAAAGAAAGATGGCGAGGTGGAAAGAAGGCTACCCAATGGTACACAGGGGCCAGCACAACAATTTATGAAATATATTTCTGTATTTAAAATATAAGGAAAAGAGACAGAGGGATACACATCTCCAGATGTGCTAGTCAATGACTAGCTAGCTCTGCGTGGAGGGTCTGAGGCGAGTTGATTCCCTCTTCCAGAAGGTGTGGCTTTCATAGCGGAGGGGTGGCTTAATCTGTGCATTAATGTCCTTGTCTGAAAAATGGAGAGGATGGTGAGAGGGTGTCATCAGGGTCAAGTTATGAAATCCGATGACCCTGGAGAGTGTGCCTTTCATTGTTCCTAAGTGTCAACAATTGTGTTCACCCGAGTCTCATCATTTTTCTGTCCTGGATGTATCTTATGGAAAAGTTAAGCAGCGGTGATGGGAAACAACGGGAGGGTGTGTGTGGCCGTGGAGAGCGGAACATCCAGAAGGCCTGAGAGTACAGCAGTGAACCTGCACACCCATGGCATAGGGATCGCTGACGTTTTGACTTCCACACTGTGGGAATCCCGTGGGAAAGACTTCCCGCTGTTGATTCTTTCTGTAACGGTATGCCAGAGACCGTACAGGCTAAGAGTTTCAAGATAATGGTGCAGGCTTCTGGTGAGGGTCTTCTGCGGCTTCAGTGCACAGTGGAGAGAGGGAAGGCAGCTGGGACTGCTCCGTGACAGCTCATAGTCTGCTCGATGAATCTGCAATCCATAGGAAGCATTACTCCTCTTAATGATCTAATCCCCTTGTAATGGCATCACCACCTTCAGCACCGTCACAAGCAAACAGCAAAGTTTGGGAGTGGACAAGCTATAATAAAACATAGCATTGTGGTGATATTGTGTTCCCCAATATATTGTGCACCCCAATAAACTTATCTGGGGTCAGATAACAGAAC